CCGCGCACTTGTCCGCACCGGTTCCGGCGGTGACGTCACCCTGCCTGCGGGGCGCTTGGCAACTCAGACAGCGACGGTGACGTCACACGCCCGATGACATCGTGGAAGCCTGGGACCGCCGTTTGGACCCACTGTCCAGCCTTTGTCATAGACATACTAGGTATTGTCCGGGCTGGTCACTTCCCAAATAACTTTCTTCTTACTTCACTGAATGCACCGAATGTCACGTGGCAGGGCGCGGGGATCCGTAAACCTCCGTCTTGTAGGAGATTCGGATCCAGGGGGGATTCAGCTGAGAGGGGGCCAGGGATCAGAGCGCAGGCCTCATCAGCGACCCCTGCCCGCTGCATAGCCCACACAGGCTCAAGGCCCTCTTGCTGCCCACCGAACCCCGGGAGGACAGAGGCCCCCAGTGGCGCTGGGTGTCAGGCACCCCCCCACCTGCGCAGGACCTGCTTGGGGGCAGGGTGTGGGCTGTTTTGGCAGCTCCCGCTTTTCTCCCAGCCTGACCTCTCCTCGGGGCTTCCTTGAACCTCCTCTTAGATCAGGCGGGCAGGGCCAGTGCCAGCAATCTGCCAGGCAGGCTGTCTGGCCCCTCGCCCCAGGAGGCCTCGCCTCAGACTTCCCTCCTGCCGGTTCTGTACATCTCACTTTCAGGGGACAGTGCCTTGGGGTGTGAGCAGAGCTCTGGACCAGGAACGAGGTGCCCCGCCTCTGCAGGCTGGTTGACTGCCCCCTGGGTATGCGGCCAGCCTCGGTGTCCTACTGCATGGAGCAGGGCCCTAATTCTCCTTTCACAGGCTGGGAGGGCAGGGTGTGCGGTGGAGCTGGGTGGACTGTCCATCAGTGGGCACTGTCACTGGGCAGGTGGACTCTGGTGGGGCACCCCCACACAAGGCTCACACTCAGGCGTGCGGGCAGGGCTGCCCTAGACCCAGACTCCATCTCAGACCCTCTCACCTAGTGGACCCCCAAGTTTGCAGGGCATTTGCTGAACGCTGCCGGCCCCAGCCCTACCGAAGTGCTCTTCCCACCCTGCACTAATGTCTCTGCAGAGTCAGGACCAGGACGGCAGGGCAGCTCATTCGCGTGGGCTTAGCCCTCAATGTTCCCATCTGTGAAGAGGGGACAGTGTTAGTCCCAGACTCCTTTCTGCCTACCAGGGATGATTTGAGAGGGTGAGGTCATGTCTAGGCAAGGCCGGGAGAGCTTCAGAGGCAGCCTAAGATAAACACCCAGGCAGTCTAACTGCCAGGAAGAGCCAATGCCTGCCGCAAGGCACCTGGGGCTCCGCCCCCACCCCCTACCCCCAAGCGCTCCTCCACGGTGAGCAGC